AAGTAGGCATCACTGATAAGTTGGAATATTGCACATTTATTTTTAGCAATTGTATTTCCCTCCTCATTGAAAGATGTTTTGAAGGCTTCAAATCAATTGAAGTTATCACTGGGAAATATAAAGCAAAGTCATGGTCCAAATTCAATGTTTGAAATGGACGTTTTTCGTGTTGCTATGTCAAAGGCTAATATGAAATACATAAAGAGCAGTCTCTGTCATTATAATATTGATAAGTAAAAGGTTGGGTTGTTTAATACTTTAGTATCAATACGCTATGCGGCCTTATGCTGCACCATTAGTCATACAAGCCACAGAAGCCTATTTATCACTTCCATCTAACGGATATAAGCGCTGCTGTGACACAATGGTAGAGTCATCACACTGTAGGCCTGCTTGTCTCCATCCCATAATGCAACATCACAGATACTCATGCTGCCAAACTGCAGGATCCCTTTACAGTGAAGGGAACCGAATCAAAGACATAACATGACTCCAAAACCAGCTCTAATGCATGTATCATTCAACCATTAGAATGTTTTAAAATGCAAATCCAGTGGGTTGCCAGGTTGGGACCCAACTGCAGATTTGATGTAAAACAGAACAAGAGCAAAGAATAATGATTATATGTTGATGACTACCTGCAATAGTTAGGAGGCACTCATGCTTTTGGCTCAGATGCAGACTCTCCCTTTTATAAAGAATCTTCTTCCTGCCGACATATGGCTCATAAAGACAAAGGATAAGAGGACATAAACGAAGACACCTACAGTTCCTGTGAACATGATCACATTTATCCTCGTTAGTTGTTCATTTATAACACTGTATTGACTGACGTTACACTCCACAGCATTATGTTGAACCAGCCTCACATTGTGAATGCGCGTGGTGCAACTTGGCAGCCACTATTTGGCTCTCTTTCTTTTAATACTTAATACATGTCTACTTTGTAATGGCTCACACACACACACACACACACACACACACACACACACACACACACACACACACACACACACACACACACACACACACACACACACACACACACACACACACACACACACACACACACACAGCCGATGCAGGAGTAAAAGCCTGGCAGCCATATATCTCTGGTGACGACCTCCTCCTGCAGACCGCCGCCTGCACCGTGACCTCCCTTCTCCTCCTGCTCTCCACAATAATATATTTCTCGGGCAACGTGGCTAGTGCAACAAGCGCAAGGAGAGAGAGATTTGTCCGGTAATTAGTAAACCACCGCCAGACTCCCCAGGCCAGAAAAGAAGTTAATGTTCAATGAGTGTTTGTGTGCAAGCCTGAGCTTCCTAAACCTGCTGTTGAAACACACTTCAGCTAAAGCCTTCACACATCTCCATGACAGCAGACTGCAGATCAGACAACAACCTCTCTGTAACCACACGTGAGAGCTGGCTCGTTTTGCCAGTTACTTAACTCCTAATCCAAATAAGTTCAATTGGACATATGAATCATCATTCAGAGATGAAAACAGTGCAACGAGCTGCAGAACGAAGCTCTGGTATCATCATAAGACGGCTGCAAAATCACAAAACTAATGGGTTTTTCCACCAAATTGGAGCTCAGTGAGCATTGTGCAGCAGCAGAGCAGCAGGACTTTTCATTTAACAAGTGTGATTTTAATGAACCTGCATGAGCTCAAAGCAGAAATGAGATTGACTCTATTCCAGCTAAGACGCTTTACAAAATGATCCACACACTCTCTGTGTACATGATGGAGCAGAGAGCATTAATACTGCAAAGGTTCATTGACACAAAATGCATTGCATAGTTTCAAAAATGTATTGAATGCATTTGTTGCTATATTGTCTTACATTTGTTTTGTTTTTAAACGTGCATCAGCTTTTGTCAAGCTGGGCATTGCAACCTATTTCAAAGCATTTCAGGCATGAGTTCTTCCTGCAATTAAAATATGTGATGACAATCCCTCAAAGTGTGCCAGTCTCTATCACACCATACATAATGCCACACTATCCTCAGCTGTATTGATGCATGTTCTGTGCATGTTGGCTGGAAGAAGCTGCTCAGTTATGTGTATTTATTGTCACATTTAACCGTCAAAACACATAAGGGCAGGAGCTAGAAAACCACACCAGGCTTGTAAAGGCATCTTCTTGTGGTTTGGTTCCAATGTTCTCTGTGTACTGTTAGGTCTAGGACACCTGCAGTTAGTCAGTAGGAGATGGTTAATGGCCTTGACGTGTTGAGTACTGAAACTTGGTCAATACCTAAACCGTGTTTTGGCTGGATTGAAAAACAAAGAGTGTTTCAAGATAACGGCAACAATTAGAAATAATCAATGCATTTCAGCTAATATTAAATCAAATAAAAAGCATTCATATATAGAACCATACTTAGTCCACGCTAAATAATCAAATCTATTCTATTTTGGAGTACTGACACTTAGGTATCATAATCCCTAACGTGCTGTGACCTCTGACCTTGCTGTTGGTAAATAGTGCTTCTCTCCCATTTGATGTGAATGGACTACAGTCACAGTAATGGCATGTAAGACATCGAGCTGAGCGATGCAGAGCTGTTTCAGAGGGCATGCTGACTCAAATAAAGCAACATCTTTACGGATCAATTCAAACCATACCATTGTGAGTCTTGCAAGATTGGGAAGTCACTGGGAAGATTGCACAAAACATACAATAATGTTGCATTGATGAGACCCTGCGAAATGTGAAATTGAAAATGAAGGGGATAAGCCTATAGGAACCATGGCATGGTGGAGACGAACTGACCAACAGCATTTTCCCCATATGCCTTTGTCTCTTTGATTAATCAGTCAAAGAGATATTTTCTCTTTGCAGATCAGGTTACCAGGCTGGAAAATATCCAGCAGCCCCCAACACTATGCCAGTGAATAATCTACAAATCACTGAATTGGTCAACATATGTGAAAATATAAGCATTGTATTCCATTTGTTTCTTTGGATCCGTTTGTGGAAATGGAGGCTGTGTTCTACCCAACATTCCTCTGAATACAGTGTGCAAACATGGCTGGAACAAGCCAGGACAAAAAGGCTCCTCAGCAGCTTTTCAGCAAGGCAATCAGGAAGGGCAGCCTCTGTTTACACCAAGGTTCATGTCTGTCCAAATACTATCCAACATCAGACTGGCTGAACCTTTCGTAGCACATCCTAAAGTTAGCATGTCTCCAACAGCTTGTATTAGACTGCTCCAGGCTTCAGGGAGAGACAGGAGCTCCTCTCAAATGACAGATTAATCAAAACTTGGAGAGCTGCTTTAATGCAAAATGTACAAAACCATATATATTTTTTAAGGGCAAGACATTATAATATAATGTTAACCAGAAGGCTAATATGGTGCATTTCAGCCAGTGTCATCAACACAGCCTCATTGAGCTGACAGTCAGCAGTGGCCTGTGGCTGACCTCTGCCCGGCTCTGTCTGTCTGTCTGTCTGTCTGGGTGTGGGAGTGGGGATACGGCCGCCGTGCCCCCGGGGTACAGTGCCCTGAGCTCGGCCTGTTATGACTAAGTGGCCAGGGGGCGCTCCGGAGGTCTGGGAATGTCCGAGGGAGCGATGGGACCAGCAGCCTCGCGAGGTCAAGGGGGAAGGCAGGGGTATGTGTGTGTGTGTGTGTGTGTGTGTGTGTGTGTGTGTGTGTGTGTGTGTGTGTGTGTGTGTGTGTGTGTGTGTGTGTGTGTGTGTGTGTGTGTGTGTGTGTGTGTGTGTGTGTGTGTGTGTGTGTGTGTGTGTGTGTGTGTGTGTGTGTGTGTGTGTGTGTGTGTGTGTGTGGAGGGGGGTGGGGGGTAAACACGGGTCAGCCTCTGGCTTCAGAGCCTGTGGACCTCATCGGTCAGGAAAGCGTGTCCCCTGGTTGAACCCTCTGCGGCCTCTCCGCTGCCTGCACGAACATCGATTTCTCTCCTCCTCTCTCGCTGCTCTTCCTTCGATACCCTTCTTTCTCTCGTGTGTTTTCTTACCTCTGCGCACATCCTGTAACCCCATGAGGCCAGAACCCCCCCAACCAGAACCGCTGCCCTTTATTTTTAATCCCGGGCAGATTGATTTCTGGAGGGGTCAAACAGCAGTGAGCGCGCTGCTGCTCGGCTCAGCAGATGAGCGCGCGCACCGCGACCGGCGATCGTTCGCAGTTCATTTGGAGAGGCTTGCAGATCGTTTGTTTTCGAGGTAAATTGTTTTGAAGCGCAACCGAGAGAGTATCCATTAACCAGAGCTCCCCCTGTTCTTTTAATTTTTCTTATTCGCCCTCCCCTCCTCCCCTACATCCCTCTCTCCAATTGAGCGCGGTATTATTCATATTCCCACTGCAGTCTCCACAGCCTGATAGCACCTGGCCAACAAATTAAGAGCACACATACACACACTCTAAGAAGCGTGCATGCAACAGTATCTCATTAAAAGCTATAGGCCATAGCAACACTTTATAACCACAGAAACGCAGCCAGGACAAAATGCATAATAAGCTTCTGTTGAACCAGGAATTATTCACATTCTGTCACATACTGGAGCTATATGAACCTATATAGGCGACTGTGTTACGTTTCCTTCCCAATTGCATTATATAAATCCTGTGAATTAAAATACACCTCTTGTGGAATCTAAAAACATCAAGGCAACCAAATCCTGTGCGTAAAAGATGCGCAAAAACACAACGACAGATGCTCGATGCCTCATGAGTGACAAACAGACGCAGAAGTGACACCCCCGCAGCAAAGGGGGGACGTGAACATTTGGGCAAACTGACGAGAAATCAGTACAAGCCTGTCATTTGTAGATGCAAACACACACTAACAGACGCGCACCTTCCAACACAAACACGCAACTCCAGAAGTCCCTGCGCTAAAATCAAAGCCCCACAGGCCATAAACCCCTGACCTCACCAAATGCGCAGGGGGCAATACAACCATCACAACGCCACAGAGCCATCAGACAGGAGCAGTTAAAGAATAAAAAAGGTTAGGTTCTTACCTTGGATGGCACCACTTTCAGAGACCTCGAGGCCATCTTCTTCTTCTTCTTCTTCTTCCTATTCTTCTTCTACTTCTTCTTCTGCTCAGGGAGTGGAGTTTCTCTGGAAGGATTTACTTCTTTCCAACGAGGAAGAAACAAACTTTGTTTCTTATGATAGGATACTTGTTGGGTGTAAAAAATAGCTGATGGGTGGGAAGGGGAGGTGTGACTGTTTATGTGTGTGAGGGAAGGAGGGGGGAGGGGTGTGTTTCCAAGACGTCTTCTTTTTCTTCTCCTCGTCTGTCTCTCTGCTCCTTGCCCCTCTCCTGGCAGAAGGGGTCTTGTGTGTGGCTGCCGGATGACAATAGAGAAGCAGAAGAAGGAGAAGAAGTGTTTAAAGAAGGACCAGTGATTAATGATTGTTTCTTGTATAATTCTCGCATTTCTCTTGAGGTGCCGTCCCTTCTGCCCTGTCCACCAAATAATGGCGATGAACTTTTTCAGAAGGTTGAGGGGTGTGGGGTGGGCTTCCCCATTCACAGGAGCAGCAGAAGGCCCGGCTGATGAAGGGAGGCTAAAACAGAGTAAGGATTCCTCGGTGGATGTTATTGTGCAAGGTGTCACATAGCACGCAAATTCATTTATTTCCACTCGGACTCGAAGCGCTCAGGGGCTTCAGGGGTTATTGTGGAGGCACATACAAAACGTGTGTGAATATTGGGAGGGGGTCTGTTTGTCCAATATAAGACAATTGGGACAAATATAATCTTGTGTGTGGAGGAGAGAGTATTACACCTTAGAACCATGAGCCAAATAAAATTATAAACCATAAAAAACCAAGTCAATAAAAAAAGAGGATGAGAAGAAGAAAGCTGGACATGTATGGATCTTTGAACAGGAATTACACCTTTGGAAGCAAATAGCAAACATATTATTCTTAATAAGAAAAAAGGGAATCCTGTTATAAGAAACAATGAAAATTACGGTTAAAACCCCAATAGGCCATGGATTGACCATTTTGGCGCAGTGTGCGCGCCTTTGTGCGAGCACATCTATGTGTTTGAGGAGGAGCTGGAGCAGCCTCTCACACAGGAAGAAAACAGATCCATGGGCAGAGGGAGTCTCTGTGGCCAGAGGCCCAGGGAGGAATCAGCCAACAAGTAATAGGGAATCTTCTCTGGGCCGAGGAATACGAGCGGACCAATTTAGGGTGCACACTTCTTTGTTTAAAGTTCATCGAGAGGAATGCTATGTTCTCGTTCTCCCCCCTCTCCTGCTCCATATTTTTCGATACCTGCTCTAAGAAAAGAAAATGAAAATTAATACGGGAGCCGCGCCTTACAAAAGAAGCCATTCGTCATGTTGATTATCTATTTGCTTGTCAGGGTTTGAGCTATGGCGCAGGCCCGCTCCCTTTTGTAATATATAAAAAATAATACACACGTGTGCGCACCAGCCCCGCTCCAGAAAGCAGCGGAAAAAAACAAAATTACACTCATTAAAGCATTAAAGGAGGTTTTTTTTCCTTTAGAGTCAGAGGAAGGAATGGAGAGGAGGAGGGGGGGTTATCCTCTGTGTCGGGCCGGTGCAAGCCGTTAAATTAACGGGAGAACGGGAGTGAAACGGAGGGACGGTTTGTGATTTAAAACGAGATTAAAGGACGTAATGTACCAAAATCACTCATGGACGGGACAGATTAATCATCGCGCGCTGCTGATTTCTCCAGACAGGTCTCTGCGCGCTATGGGCAAAAGCTACAGTGAAATGAAATGAAATTATTTATTGTGTGTGCATATGCTTTAAATACATCCTTCACGTTAAATGTGCAGAGAGAGAAGAGGACATATATGTTTTCTGGAGCCTGCTATAGGAAAGAAAAGGAAAATGTCCCAATACAACAAATAAAAAGGGACGATCTTTAAAACCCTAAACCTCATGACTACCTTTACACTGAACAAGGTGACTTTAATTCAATGTTAACACATTTCACATAACTGTATTAGGTTAGTTGAAAGCAATACTAATACGTTTAAATAACGTATGGTTCAACCTAGTGAAATCTGTTGGCATAATACATTTCATCAAAGTCAATGTTTCAGTGTGTTTATGTTAGCAAAACAATTTGTACTTTTGAGACAAAGAGAGGAGGATAGAGAAATTATATTTTTAGACATTTATTTAAATTTCTATGAACTATTTACAAATAATAGGAAGGTAGACACTGAGGAGGCAAAAGCAGAGACACATCGGAGGAGGTAACACATGTTCAACAATAGCATAATTGTTAGCATCATCATCATCATATAGAAACTGATCTTTGGAATGTAAATAAAATAACATCAATTGAGAAACACTTGCAGAATAAAATATCTAAAACAAGGTGACAGACAGAGGAAGGGGAGAGGGAAGAGGAAGAGGAAGTGTGCGCGCATTACATGTGCGGAGAGAGGACAAAGAGCAAGAAATATAACAATTAAATCCATTCAGACATGCAACAAAAGGCTCCTTATTTTTCTCATTCCCCTGGCTAAAATTAAATTATATTTTAAACATTTCCACATGCAAGAAATTAATCGTTTGTATTGCAGGTAATAATATTATAATCACACATTTAAAAAATATATAAAAAGCTCGAAAAGCTGTCACTTCATTGAACGAGCAATAGAAAATAGAGGACCAAAAAAACCATAAAAAAATATATAAGTACAACTGAGGTAATAGGTACATTCTATAGTGCTGCGTGTATAATGTGTTTTATTAGTACCAGGATTTTGGTTTGAATATTAGTGTTTAGGCAGCTTTATAAACCCTGTTTGATTGGTAGTGGAAGATGTTTTAATTTCACTTGAATTCCCTGTATATTACATCACAACATGAACAATAAACGGACCACATGAACTCTCCTTATCGTCCTCAGCATCATTTACAATCAACACTGAATTCAAAAATAACTATAAGAGAAATTTGAAAAGCTATTGTTCTCATTCAACAAAACAAAAATAATTATAGCAGCAAGACTGAAAACTGCCTGCTGTCAGATTGGATCATACCGGAGGTAATATTTGATGTTAGAGTAGGTACTATAAGCGTGTGTGTGCGCGTGTGTGCGTGTGTGTGTAAGAATACTTCTCTTGACGAAACGTGAGTTCCATTTATCACACGTGCGTGGGTGAGGGGGTAGTGGTTGTGGGGGGGAGATGGGGGGGTGCAAGGGGGGGTAATGGGCAGAGCCGCGGTTCACCCCTTTGCTTTGTACCCGCAGAGTAAACATGACAAATGGGGCCCGAGTTTGGCATGATTAAAGATGAAAACGAGGATCCATCTTCACCAAAAAAGAAGAAGAAAAAAATCTCGGGTTGAGAAAATAAAAATAAACCTCACGCACGAGGGCACGTTATCCTGAGCCTATCGTGAGAGGAAGAGAGAGAGGAGTTTAACAAAAAATAAGAAGATAGACATTTAAAAAAAGCAGGGGGTGGGGGCAGACAGAATAAAAGCAAAGAAGCGGCCGGTCATTTTCTCAGTTTGTTCCTTCGCGTACTTTTGTTCATTTCATGTTTTGTGAATGGGAACACTCCCCCCACCCCTCCCACATCATAACGTCATATTATAGTGTGTAACATCATGCGGCAATGACATCCCTCTCCCCTTCCAGAGCAGGGGCGTTATTCCGGTCAAAAGTGCAGGCTCCGGTGCCACTGCGGCGTTCAGTTTGGGAACAAAAAATCTGACACCGGACCACAGAACCGGGCTGCAGGGGCCCGGGGCGGCTCTAGGATCCGGTCAGAGCCTGGGAGTTTGTGTTGCTGCTGGCCCCGGAGCGGACCTTGGTGTTGGGCAGCTTGTGGTCCTTCTTCCATTTCATCCTCCGGTTCTGGAACCAGATCTTGATCTGCCGCTCCGAGAGGCACAGCGTGTGCGCGATCTCCACCCTGCGCCTGCGCGTCAGGTACCGGTTGAAGTGGAACTCCTTCTCGAGCTCCAAGACCTGCTGGCGCGTGTAGGCCGTCCGCGAGCGTTTCAGCTCCCCCCCTGAGTAGTTCGCGTTCACTGTGGGAATAAAAGAGCGTCACAATATTATTGTCTTGAGAATAAAAACACCATGCAATCACGTCCAAAATATAGCATAATAATAATAATAATAATAAATAATAATAATAATAACAACAACAACAACAACAACAACAACAACAACAACAACAATATGTAGTAAAGCAACTATTAAGCTGAGCTAAAGCCATGTTTTCCACAGTGCAACATTATAATGTGAATTAAAAGACAAAGACACAATAGTTGTCAGCACAATATTGGCTTGCACTGAATACGACTGTTTGTTATCTGGCTTATATTTTATATATATTATATCTGGGTCATTAAACAGGAAGCGACACAGTAGCCAGATGGTAATTAAAAAAACAGCAGATAAAGCCACATGAAGAAATAAAAATGCATTATGAGCATGGAGGAGGAATAAAGCCGCGGCTGGACACATTGTACAATAAAAAGGCTGCAACCTTGACATCATCTGTAATGATAGCAGTCCTCTTTAACCCTACCACAAATACATGTCCACATGCAGCTGTTCCAGCCGATTTTAAACTACAGATTGTTGACTCTGCCTTCGCAGTGAACATGTTGTCAGGTGTCAGTGAAGGCCCTGCGGCGGTGTGAATCCTGACGCTGTGTCCAAATGTTGTGATTCGAAAATGGGGGGCCATGCAGGGACGCATTTCCGAAAGCTCATATATTGTCTTGCAGTTTTGACACATTCGTGCAAAAAATCCCGTAAAAATACGTCAAATCAGCCAGAAACACACGCAGTCCGGAGCCTTTTCTTTCAGTGGTTGAAAATGAAGGTGTTGTCGGGAGGGGAGGGGAGGGGAGGGGGGGGGGGGCTAAATCACCAACTGATTCAACAAATAGCTTACCCAAAGCAAACACTTTGCAATGGAATCCGATGGCAGCTAACCGCAAAGGTTAAAATGCAAGAAATAGTTTTTTTCTTACCGAGTAAACAGCCGGGTGCAGTGAACGCATCACGGTGCCTTATAAACGTTTTGTCGCCCCGCGAACGCGCGCTCCGGTTCTCCCAACAAGCAATAGGCAGCGAGTCTATTAGAAGCTCACCGAGAGCCAGAACAGGCTGCAGCTCTTCGCTTTTACATTAGTGTTTTACGGCCGGCTCCATAAACATGAATATTTCAGCTGCCATAAAACTTTCCCTCCCCTGGAACAACGAGTGGGGAAGAAGGGCTCGACAGAGTAAAGTACACCGTTTATACAACCAGGCCACTTAAAATCAAATTACCAAAGCATAAAAGCTAACTTATGGGCTCGCTCTGAGTTGTCAT